CACACACATGTATTTTTGTTTTGGTCTTGCCTCCAATACTTAAGGGCCAATCTATGGATATACTACATCTATGATGCTAACAATGTATTGCTTAATGCCAAGGTAGACAAAATGTGTTAAATTTGAATTACCTAACGTAAAATCAACTAGTCCAAGAAATAAACAGAGAAAAGTTAGACCTTAGAAGTTAGACTTAGAATCGTTTGATGCACTGCAGTCGCTTGTATGTTCTTTTGGAATCCGGTAGTGTGTGTTCGCTCAGTGTGGATGAAGACGAAATTTTAATAATGTATTACTTTTTAAAAATGCGGAAGAGGAAGCAAACAAATCCAATTCAATCCAATCCAGTCCAATGCTACTAAGAAGAATTCCATTAGGGTTATGTCAAACGGTATACGAAGTTGCTTTCTTTTCGGTATTGTCAAAACCTGCTACGACCAGAGATGGCCAGTGGGTTAAAACCCAATCAACTCGCCCGTGTTATCACCAGGGTTTTAACGCCGAGTTTTAACCCATTTCTGCCCAAAATCGTGGGCAGAAACGAAGAGTACAGAATTTGGTATAATTCCAACACTATAATAATAATAATAAAAAATATATATATATATAATATATATCACTTAAAGTTATAATAAATCTACTGTCCTTATAGTACCTGAGATAGATAAAATATTCCACCTAAAAAATACTCAAATTTGGGGTTTAGGTAGAGATGAACAGCACCTGCACGTAAAAATATAATTACAAACTACATCCAATTACTTTCTGATCATTGCCTCGAAAGTAACCAAAGCTTGCACTTTCTTTTAAAAGTACAAGATGACTTTGAGTTTCGTACTGGAGGAGGTAAATCATTCCAGCACTTAGATGCAGCGAATTTGAAACTCCCGCGGTAAAGCGTTAATCTAGGAGGTGGTGCTATATGTAGAGAAGGATACCGTATTGCCCGTACATTGCGCTCATCCCTATCGTTCCAATTTAATTTTCTAGCCAAATAGGCTGGAGTACAGGTCTTCCGCAAATTATAAACGAATGTGTTTAATTTTAAAACTCTGTGGTTTTTCATACTTAAAATACTAAGTGTATTAAGATACAGAGTTATGTATGCGCGAGGAGGAACGTCATAACAGTATCTAACACATGAATTTTGTACTTTTTGGATTTTCTTTTCTACTTTTCTTAGTAAACAAGGCCCGTACACTATGTCTCCATAGTCAAGTTGAGAAAGTACTAAGTACTATCACGCACTAGCACTATAAAGTACTAAGTACTATCACGCACTAGCACTATAAAGTACTATCAACATAATATACAATAACTTGTAACAAATTTCTATATTTTTATTACACGAAGAAGAGCATCTCAACATAATACCCACCTCCTGTCAATCCTGTGGATTCTCAATGAATATCGATTCAAGTGCGATACAAGTGAGATCGTATGATCTAACGATTTTTTGTATCAATTTATTGATGAACTTTTCAAGCGAATCTATTGAATAGAAAGGTAAATCGAACTGTCCTGATAATAAAGCAACAAATATTTTGTAATATTATGTATAATTAAATTTGAACAAAACTCAAATCGCAACAAACATTTAGACATAAATAGTTTTTGCCCTCAATTTCGGGTTTTAACCCGATTTAAACCCTAACAAAGCGGCGTTAACAAAGCGCCGGCTTAAAACCCGGGCGCTTGCTCATCTCGGGCTACGACCTAACGCTACTGCAAAGCGAGCAGAGGGCGTGGGGTACGAGAGGGGAGGGCAGGGAGCAGAATACGTGCGGACAGCGATAAATAAAACGTGATGACAATAGGAGCTGCGACAATTTATCGTCACGTTTTTATCGGGACTTTTTTTATCGTCTGACGACTGTCGTTATGGCTGTTCCCACTGTGACGACAGTTTGTCATTGTAACGATAAAAAATCGTGAACGACAGTTAATCGTGTCGTGCTATATGTGAACAACTTCATTTAAATATACAAGCCACGACACTGTAAACTGCACGACAATCTGTCGTCACGACATAGTGGGAACGCGCCCTAAAGCAGTCTTCTTGGGAGTGACCTTATATAGTAATCAATGGTTTCCACATATATCTTCGCTGGCCTACAGATTAAGCTCCGCTGCATACGCAGTCCGCAGAATACGTGAGTTTACTGATGTTAGTACTGCTAGACTAGTTTACTTTAGTTACTTCCGTAGTATAATGTCCTACGGGATTCTCATGTGGGGTAATGCGGCAGATATTCAAACCATATTTGTATTGCAAAAACGAGGGATTCGTTCTGTATACTGTCTAGGCTCTCGGGTTTCTTTTAGAGAAAACTTTAAGGAGGCTGGTATCATGACTGTGGCATCACAGTGCATTTACTCAAATATTTTATATGCCTGTAAAAATATACATAATTTCAATAAGGAAGAAGATATCCATAATATTAACCTTAGAACTAAGTCCAAAGTCATGGTACCACGATTTCGCTTAACCAAGGTAAACTACTCTTTTATGGGGAACTGTATACGTTTTTACAATAATATTCCGGAGCATATGTTAAGATTATCATTTCCTAACTACATTAAAAATATTTTGATTGAAAAGTCGTATTACAAAATTGAAGACTACGTGTTAGATAAAGATGTATCGAAAGACGACACGGCTCCAGAATCCACACAAGTTTGATTCAAAGTGTATTCCATAGCATTTAAGTTTATTTCAAAAGAGCAATCCCTAGAGTTTCTTGCTCGTTCTTCTCAGGGAAGTCAGTAGTGAACGAGAAGTAGCTCAATGTAATGTGAATGTGATGTTTTCAAGTGTAAATTTATTTTACCTATGGTATAAATGATCTTTGACTTTGACTTTTACATATTTCTTCCCACAATCGGTAATAAAACGACAGCTACCTGGAAGACTCGTTAATGCACTGACACGTTAAAGAGTCAGTAGCAGTGTTGGGCAAAATTTATTTGTTCAGGCAATAAAAGATTGACAATTAATTAATTGTCAATTGCGATACGGCAATTAACAATTCATTAATTGTTAATTTCGAGAACAGCAATTAACGATTAAATAATTGTTAATTGTTGTTCTCGCAACTAACATTTAATCAATTGTTAATTGCGTATATCTACAATGAGCAATTAATCAAATTTCAATCTTTACAATGTTTTTGATTAACAATTAAAATTGACAATTATGATAAATTCATATTGGTGGGTGAACTCCCACCAATATGAATGAATACCCACTCACCCATTCACCCAATCCCCAACTCACCCACTTACTCACTCACTCACTCACTTACCCTCTCACTCAAAACTCACTCACACACCCATTCCCCACCAACTCACTCACCCACCAGCTCACCCACCCTCTCACCCACTCACCCACCCATATGCCCTATGAATTTATAATATTTGTCAGTTTTAATTGTTAATTGTTAATCAAAAACATAGTAAAAATTTAATTGTTAATTGTAGATATACGCGATTAACAATTAATTAATTGTTAATTACTGTTCTCGCAATTAACAATTAATCAATTGTTAATTGCTGTTTCGCAATTGACAATTAATTAATTGTCAATCTTTAATTGCCTGAACAATTAAATTTTGCCCAACACTGCTACTGACCATGCTCTTTAATGCTACCTTCAAGATACAATACTTTCCTAAGTTATGGAAAATCTCCCATATTTGTATGATAGCTAAACCAGGAAAGCCACACACAGAATCAAGTTCCTACAGACCTATAAGCCTCTTGCCGATACTCTCAAAGCTATTCGAGAAAATTTTTCTAAATCGACTTAAACCAATATTGAAAAATACAACATAATTCCAGATCACCAGTTTGGGTTCAAGGAAAAGCATGGCACTGTAGAGCAGGTTCATAGAGTCATACACACAATACTATACGTACAATTAGACAGTCGTTTGAGAAAAGGGAGTACTGTTTAGCTGTGTTTCTAGATATACAGCAGGCCTTTGATCGGGTATGGCATGATGGTCTTTATACAAACTAAAAGTTGATCTCCCAAACTCATTTTACATGATTTTAAAATCATATCTTCTAGAACGCAATTTTCAAGTAAAGTATGAAGAAAAACTTTCCCAATTACATGAGATGCTGGCATCTGTTCCTCAAGGTTCGGTGCTGAGCCCAGTGCTGTACTCTATATTCACAGCAGACTTACCTGAGAGCGTGGAAACGGCAACATAGGCTATGACACTCCTTGTCTGGCAAGCGACATTTCGTCGTTGCGCGTGAAAAAACCACTGAAGAGCACTTTGTAAACACCGCGTAACAGCGTTTTCACGATTTTACAGGAAGAATTAAAAACTGTATATCTTAGCCATTGAACTATATTTTACCGACTGAACTCTGTAGCTACTTCTTTGCGATTCACTTTGTAGAAAAATAACGTAAGTTTACCCACAACTTGTTTAGATTCCGGGTAAAGTCACTAACGCGGTTTTGTAGTAAAAAATTACAGAAAAGGTAAAGGAAGTATACTGTTAGTAGGTGCGCGGGATTGTAATGAAACATTCTAATAAAGGTTTGATTTTATTATGACTAAAGAGCAAAAGTGACAGAGAATAAGGAGGCGTTAGCCCTTCTCTGGGATAGTACAGGGTCATAATAATAATAAAATTACAAAAAGCTTCTAAAACAGACATCTTCTTAGACCAAAAAAGTATTATCAGATAAACAATAAATTGTTACTGTTCGTAGTCAAATTATATAGAAACCTTTTTATAAGTAAGTAAAAAAGAAATTTTGTAGTTTGAAAATATGTGTAATTAAGAATAACAGAAAAAAAACAGTCTCTTAAGTTGAAAATCACAGTAATCTTGTTAAACGTCTTGCACAAATATAATAAAAAGGTAGTATAATAGAGGGCTGTAGCTCAGATGTGGTGCGAGAGGTACTTTTAATAATATAAAACCGGGATCATCTTAAAGTTTGGTTTATTTTACTATTTTCATGTCTAGGGTTACAAATCAATCTTAATTAATATTAATGTCAAGCTCTTCCCTTATTTTCTTAGCGTTCCAAATACAAAACTATAATCATTACCTATGTTCAGCCAGCAATTCTACTCAAAGAGTACAGCCTAGTCTACATCCCTCTTCCTCACAGCTGAAGGGGTGAATATCCCTAGCTGATGGTCTACCTATGATAGGCAACTTACATCTGCGATCAGCCCTTACTACAGGCTAGCCACACACTGCTCGGAAGCTATCAACTTACCAACAAGTAACCACCGAGGAGGCTATGGCTTTGGTCTGCCAAAAACCTATCCAAAAAGACAGACCATGATCACATCCTAAACAAACAAATCAAAATATTTTCACTAGTTAGCTATCCTATCTAATTAGGGAACCTGACTAAACCCTAACACTTTATTTTAGCGACCCTAAACTGGCTGAACGACCCTATCAAACTTCTAAACATTGCTACAAAACTATTTCCCTAAACTCCCTAAACCTAAGCTATCTCCAACGTGCATGCTGCCACAACGACGACACAGGCTTGAACATCCATCGGACGATCACTGGGTTACATCACTATTGATCTCCCAGCTGCCTTAGTCCTCACTTTGCAGCTATCACGTTCCATCAGCTTCACTTACCATCTTTAAACAAACAAGAACCAACCCACATATAACGCTAACAACATATTCTAACTACATATCCTAAGATACATATGGGATGGGGATATATCCCATATGAAAGACGTCTAATTAATTAAATAAATATATTTTCCCAGAATGCAGACAGTCCTTGATCAACTGGAGGGATGAGCAGGAACTATTCGCACATACAGGATAATATATCTATCAAATT